CCAGAGTTTCGCCATCAAGTGTGATTGGGTCGGTGTTCTCCGTGTTGCATTTGAGAATCTTGCTTTTTCCTTTGTGAATGTGGAGGCCTATCGATGCGGAGGCTGCTGCTACATTCGCTGTCTTCATCTGCATTTGGTCGTGTGTATGAGAGAGGAGGGCTAGGTTATCTGCGAAGTCCAAATCATCTAATTGATTCTGAGAAGTCCATTGTATTCCGTATTTCCCTTCAGATGTCGAATTCTTCATAATCCAGTCAATCACTAGAAGGATGAGGAATGGGGAGAGTAGACAGCCTTGTCTGACTCCGGTCCTTACTGGAAATGCATCTGTCAGCTGTCCTCCATGCACCACTTTGCACTGCAGTCCATCGTATGAGTTTTGGATAATGTTGACAATCTTTTCAGGAACTCCATAGTGTCGAAGAAGTTTCCATAATGTTCTCCTATCCACTCTGTCAAACGCCTTCTCATAATCAATGAAGTTGACGTATAGTGATGAGTTCCACTCAACTGATTGTTCAACGATGATCCGTAGTGTCGCAATCTGGTCTGTGCACGACCGATCCTTACGGAATCCAGCCTGATGATCCCTTAGTTCGGCGTCTACTGCGTCTTTCATCCGATTCAGCAGCACTCTGTTGAAAACTTTTCCTGGTACTGATAACAAACTGATGCCTCTGTAATTCTCACATTGGCTCAGATTTCCTTTCTTTGGTATCTTGATGAGATATCCTTCTTTCCAGTCCGTTGGCACTTGTTCCTCTTCCCAAATCTTTTTGAATAGAAGGTGAAGCATGTTTGCAGTTATTTCAATATCTGACTTCAGTGCTTCTGCTGGTATATTGTCAGGTCCTGCCGCCTTCCCACTTTTGATTTGTCTGATGGCCATCTTGACTTCTTCAATCGTTGGTGGAGTGACATCTTTTGGAAGGTCAGTGTGAGTTGCTTCGATGTTCGGTGGATTCAATGGGGCTGGTCTATTCAGCAGTTCCTCGAAGTATTCTGCCCATCTTTTCCTCTGTTCCTGAATCTCAGTGATTGTCTTTCCTTCTTTGTCTCGGACTGGTCTCTCTGGTTTGCTATATCTCCCAGCCCATTTCTTCGTTGTATCATACAGTTGTTTCATATTCCCTTCTCTTGCAGCTTTTTCCGCCGCCGTTGCTAGTTCTCCCATGTATTTCTGCTTGTCGGCTTTAATGCTTTTCTTCACTTCTCTGTTTGCTTCTGCGTAGTCTGCTTGTGCTTTGACTTTCTCTGCTCGTGTTCGGCTGTTGTTAATTGCTAGTCTCTTGTTCTTCCTTTCTTGAATTTTGTCCAGGGTTCCCATAGAGATCCATTCCTTGTGATGAGGCTTCTTAGGACCAAGAACCTCCTGACACGTTGAAGTTAGTGCTTCTTTTATCCCTTTCCAGTTGTCCTCCAAAGTAGTTTCTTGTTCTTTCAGTAGATCCTGTAGAGCTTGGAACCTGTTGTTGAGAGTTATCTTGAATTCGTGGAGCTTGTCAGTATCTCGAAGGAAGGCTGTATTGAACCTTTGTAGTGCTGTTTGTCCAATTGTCCAGTCTTTCTTTAGCTTCAGTCTCATCTTGGCCACAACCAGGTGGTGATCTGAAGCTATGTCAGCTCCTCTCCGGGTTCTCACATCTTCCATTGATCTTCGGAATTTTTTGTTGTTACAGATATGATCTATCTGGTCCTCTGTGGTTTGGTCCGGTGAGATCCATGTAGCTTTGTGTATGCGTTTGTGTGGGAATATTGTGCCGCCTATAACCAATGTGTTGAAAACACATAGGTTTGCAAGTCTCTCCCCATTTTCATTTCTCTCTCCTAGTCCATGTCGTCCAATTACATCTTCATATCCTGTGTTGTCCACTCCAACTTTAGCATTTAGATCTCCAATCAGGATCGTGAGGTCCTTTCGTGAGCACTTTGCTATAATTGATTGCGTCCTTTCATAGAACTGATCTTTATCATCGTCGTTGCTATTGGTGGGTGTATAACATTTTATAACGTTCATTGTGATCCCTTGCTTCTTTATTCTAAATGATGCTTTGATTATCCTGGGTCCATGAGATTCCCATCCCATAAGTGCGTTTTGTGCTTCTTTGGACAGCATTAAAGCAACTCACTGAGTGTGTGGAGCATTTTCCCCTTAGTGACCGGAGTACGGCAGCATATCTCCTGTACCTAGCCTTTGTTGTCCAGATTGTGTCCAATGGGTTTCGCTGATTCCGAGTACTGCCAAGTTGTATCTCCTAATTTCCATTGCTATTTGGCTGGTCTTTCCTGTTTCCTACATTGTCCGGACGTTCCATGTACCTATAAAGAGTGTTGCTCTGGTTGTTAGAAGGTGCATCGGTCTCGTGACTTCCGAAGAATTTCGGCTTTCATCATGAGACGTCATAATTATTCCTTCTACTCCCAGGGCAGAGTTTAAATGGTTTGAATTATTTTTTCTGGTTAGCGTTTTTTTTAGCGAGTTGATTTTCAGTGATTAAAATATCTCATTGTCATGGTAAAACAATTATGCTATTCTAACGTCTTGTCTAGTACATATTCTCTTTTTTAAGTATTTCATAACTTCAGAATAAATTCCACTGCTATTTATTCAAGATGTTACCTTGAATTTTATATGAACTAGATGCCTTGATTTGTTACTTATTTGTTGATAATTTAATATTTATTTATAGTCACTTTAATATCACTAATAACTTTAACGCTTTTCTTAGTTCTTGATTAATCCTGACGATAAGCATTAAGTGATCACCATTTAAATGTTAACAGTTCAGAAATCGATATCTGAGTGGTATTCATCCTTTTCAATGAATATTTCCGGCCGTGACGATATCTCTGATTGTACTTTCTTTGTAACCTGTACAGTGAAATGTCATAAAGCTTTCATAAACGCACCTGAATAGGTTGTACGATTAGTAGATATAATGAAGTGTTCAAACAAACTGAAAAAGCGGGTAGCTTGTTGAAATATCTAAATGGTTTGAAAAAATAGCTCAGATATTCAGGAACACCGCTGTTTCAAACTAAACTTTATCGATTACAGTATATAAAATGTTCTACAATAAAATTACTAATGTATGATTAGGCCAGTTTTAGTTGATGTGTAGTTTTGTAATATGATGAATTCTTGTTATTCTATAAATCTTGTTCAACTTATAAAGGAATTAGACCGTGTGAAATGTTATAATTATTACTTTATAGTAATTTAAGTTAAATTGACATTTCAAATAATCACTTAGATCTAAGTAAATAGTACACAGATATTAGAATAAAATATGGGATTATTAAAAATATTTATTACCCATGAATAAATTTCTATCCTAGTGATTTTAGGTTTTGATTGAAATTCAATGTTCAATTTATAATATAATTCAGGCAGAAATAATATTTATAAGCAAAGATGGATAGAAGCTAGCAGTAGAATTTAGGACTCGCGTTTCATCCTATTTGGGATTCGTCAGCTGGATGTACTCGCATCTCAGAGATGATGATCACTCTGGGACTCCAACCCAGTATCTTTAACTTCAAACGCCATCGCGTTATCCACTCAGCTACTGAGTTCTGATAGCCACTTACTTGTGCAATTAGGTGAAGTCTAAATTCACTTAGTATTGTTTGTTTAAATCTTCCCATTGATGTTTAGGACTTCGCTTGATCAGTCTCTTAATAGTATATGTGCATACTGTATGCATTGCCTCGATATAGCCTTAATTCACAAGTATTATAAGGAAAGATGGTTAGTGGCTATGAGTGGAATCCAATAAGAGACTGATCAATTGCAGTCCTAAACATCTAAGGCTATATCGATGTAATGCATACAGTATGCACATATATTATTAAGAGACTGATCAATTGAAGTCCTAAACATCAATGGAAAGATCCAAGTAAACATTACCAAATGAATTTAAACTTCACCCCATTGCACAAGCAAGTGGCTATCAGAACTCAGTAGCTGAGTGGATAACACGATGGCGTTTGAAGCGAACGGTTGTGGGTTGGAGTTCCAGAGTGATTATCATCTCTGAGATGCAGGTACATCCAGCTGACGAATCCCAAATAAGATGAAACGCGAGTCCTAAATTCTACTGCTAGCTACTATTCATCATTGCCTATAAATCAGACACATTTGTAAGAATTATTGTCACAGTGAAATCAGTTGCACTGATATGAATAATTCATCTGTTCAAAATTATTTAAAAATACATTCTTAAACTCTTTCAAATTTGAAGATGTTACAGCATCATTTCATGGAAAATATGTTCAAAAAGTTAAGTGTGGGATGGTTGGGAATATTTTTAGTTTTGATCTATTATTTTGGCGGAGTTTCATTATCTAATCAAGATAGTTTATTAGTGAGGTTTTCATTGTCCTTCTGGAAAATATTGTCGGTATAAACGTCTAAGAGAAGTGTGCTATACAAATTTTTCTAAAAGACAGTGAGAGCTTCGTGATCGAAACATCTTGCTTATAAGTGAATCTCAGCCTAAACCCAAAATGTGTTAAACGAATAGTTTGAAAATGATTGATCGTTCTATCACTATGGTTTTCAGACTCAATTAAACTTATTTGTAAAAATCAAAGATCAATCAAAGCCTTTAATTTGTTCTAAAACTCTAAGATGAACTTAGCATTAAAATCCAGGAAGTCTGTTTTATCCTATTTGGAATGTTCATGGTGTGCCTGAACCAAAGCGTTGACGTTTCCATCGAGTTTTAAACCCCATACTTATCATCTCAAACGTCAACTGGTTCCCCAGAAAAGGTCTATGTCGAAACAGCTACTACTCCGTTCACGACTAACGTGTGCCAGTTGACACTGAATAATTGCAGTTCTTATGATTAATAAATGGAAAAATACAGGAATTTTCATCATGGATCATTTAGATATAAACAGTACAAACAGTTTACAGTAATATCTTTATAATGCTAAAAACAATGTTATACATATATATGTACTTCAATAATAAGTAATCATAGATCACTCACACTAATAAATATTGATTGATCTACATGAGCTTCTTCAAAAATGGTACCAAATTGAAATATTGGACAAAATCGATTTTCTGGATCAGTTTTATTATACAAACATGTACGAAGAAATTTTTTGGATGCCCAATTTTGAATATTTCGTCTAGAATAGGGAAATAAATATTAGGTGTAAACGAAATTTTGTTTTAAATTTCAAAGTATTTCTTGCATAAGATTAACACAATGTATTACTCTATGATAAGACGTACTTCTTTTGTACATCTACCAGTTCACCTGCTACTGTGGAGCATGGTTCATCGGCCGTAGCCAGCGTTCGCTTTCAACTCGGATGCGAGAAAATATCCCAGTTTGGTTCTACAAGGTTGAAAAGAAAGCCGTTAGGAGTTCTATACTTGAACACCTAATCGACTGTAATCATTCTACGGATCCACAGTCCGATTTTAAGGTTGTTTATATGATTCATTAAAATCTACTAGATTTCTTCGTACCAACCTCCTAAAAATAGACGAAGCTCTCACCATCCATGAGCTCAAATCAGAACTATGCGTACAAAAGAAGTACGCCTTATCCTTATCATTACCAAGGCCTTAATATTAGTATTACTCTATGTAGAATTTACAATAACAGTATGAAAATCCAAACAGCCAGTTCATCTTGATAAAAGTACACTTATACGGAATTATTAAAGCTTAATAGTACATCATTTACAGTTTAAACTATCTTCAAATTATAAACACTAACCTAGGCGATATCAACAATCAATAATAGTTATTGAAAGACTTGGGATAAATAAATAGTGTGGTATGTGGTACATTTACTGACAGATTTATTAGTATGTAACATTAATAGGAACTTGAACGTCTGCCACCAAAAGATTAAAATCGAAGAGCAAGTGTACTAAATACAGAATTGGAGAAACCATGAAATATGTAAAGGACTATTGAAAGAAGATCTGATAATAATGTATTTAACGTATAGTTTTCCTATTTTACTTAGAGACTGTGCAATTTAGTATCAAACAATCAATTAGGTTTTCCCACCCTTTGTCTCATTCAACACAATAGTTCATGAAAATATTGTTGTATAAATGAAAATTAATTTGGAAGGGGATTTGTGGAGATTTCAGTATTTTTCAAATTTGAAATCATGAGTCAATTGAAGCTAGACCACCATGGAAAACCTGGAAACACTGGACGGCCATTTCGTCCTATTATGGGACTCCTCAGCAGTGCGTATCCACGACATCGCAGTCGCACGATTCGAACCCAGGACCTACCAGTCTCGAGCCAGAGCCCTTATCCGATAGACCACTGAGCCGGCATCCAACGGTGTTAATGTCTAACTTCAACCGATCCCCGAATTATGAGCAACCATTCACCAATTGTCTTCAGTGAGTTGTTATCTCACAACAGACTTGGTAGAACTCCACTGTTCACTGCCTCCCACTAGAACTAGGTTCTGGGTTCGAATCTTGCGAGTGCGGGATCGTGGATGCGTACTGCTGAGGAGTCCCACAATAGGACGAAACGGCCATCCAGTGCTTCCAGGTTTTTCGATGGTGTTCTAGCTACAATTGACTCATGATTTCAACTTTGAAAGTTAGTTTATCCAATTTACTAATAAAAATTAAATAACCATATCTTATAGAACAGTGATTAGTTACCATTTGTATAAATTTAGTGTTCTATAACAAAATGACGAATAATTATCCATGAACATGATAAATTTCTTCCCAATTTTATGTAAATATATTATCAAAATGTACAAAACAGAATATTAATAACCTTAGGATCTTTGTAAGCAAACATGGATAGTGTCTAGCAGTAGAATCAAGGACGCACGTTTCGTACTATTCAAAATTCGTCAGCTGGATGTACTCGCATCTCAGAGTTAATGTTCACTCTGGAACTCCAATGCACGCTTCAAACGCCATCGCGTTATCCACTCAGCTACTGAGTTCTGATAATCACTTGTTTGTGCAATGGGGTGAAGTTTAAATTCATTTGATAATGTTTACTTGGATCTTTCCATTGATGTTTAGGACTGCAACTTGTCAGTCTCTAATCGACCTATGTGAATCCTATACGTATCGCCTCGGAATAATCTTAATTTACAAGCATTGTAAGTAAATATGGAAACTTTGGAATTAAGAAATAATTAAAATTTTTCATATGGATATCTTTGTGATTGATTTAATCACTACAAATAAATCATAATAAACAAAATGATTAAAATGTATTTGATGATAGACGGGGACTGTATTTATTCAATAAATGTTAACTATTAATAACATTTAGCTATAAATACACCTTCATTCATTGTTTTTGTTTCATATTGTGAACTTTTCACATTATTCACATCTTACTAACTCATATTCTCTTATTCGACAAAATTAACATTTAAATATTATTAGATAAACTTTTAGTTAAGATTTATTTGATTGTTAAACAGTTTATATCTCTTAGTGTTGCTCTGAAGAAGTCCATATAAGATGGCTGGACGAAACTTTAAAATAATTTATATTTCAATCATTGAGATAATTACAAGTGTAATTTCAGTCTTTAAAATTCAGGTCTACAATTCATTTAGTTAAGTCGCGTAGAGAAATAAATATAATATCTATATCACAACTATTAAACCATCATTATATAGTCGAGATTATGAGTCAATTGAAGCCAGATAACCATGAGAAACCTAAAAGCACTAGACGGCCGCTTCATCCTATTGTGGGACTCCTCAGCTATGCGCATCCACGATCTCGCCTAGCGAGATTTCAACCCACGACCTATCAGTTTCGCGGGCGGGCACTTAACCACTAGACCACTGAGCCGGCATCTAAGTGTTAAAAAATTACTAAAATCTCCACAAAACCCTCTACTGATATTAGATCATCATGTTTATTAATACTGAGAAAAAGGCATATAAAATCATGTTTATAATGTGTCAATAACATTGGATAAGCTAAGTGTAACACAAAAAAGATTAGGCTACGAAACAGATATTTATTTTTAGGTATCAAACTTACAAGCTTGAAATCAATAATATCTGATAACCAAAGAGGATTAATACGTCATTTCTTATAAAGGAAATTATGTTTTTAAGTTGTAAAAGAATTAACTTCTTTCAATTATTTACTAGTTAAAAAGTACAAATTATATATCATCCAATATTTATTTCATTTTAATTGAGATCATAAATCCATTAATGTAAGACCATTATTGAGAACCTAAAAGCACTGGACGGCCGTTTCGTCCTAGTATGCGATTTCTCAGCAGATTGTGCCCACGATATCGCACAAGGAACTCGAAGTCAGGACCTTGGGTTTCGTGCCTGAACACTTAAGCTCTAGACTGCTGAGACAATATCGAACGATGCTATTGTGTAACTTCAACCAATCCACAATATTTCACTATTAACTTTTATTTGCTGTATTAGAGAATAATTTCATGTAGTTTTATTCCCTTAGAAATAATTCTCCTTATTCTTTTGAAATGTATCCATAAAACTGTTGAGTGATAATTTGAAACTTTTAATTTTTATATTCGACAGTGATATTTCAAGTAAACGTTTTTCGTCAGAGATTATTCTCATGACACTAACACCATTGGATGCCAACTAAGTGGTCTAGAGGTTAAACATTTGGGCACGCTACCGATAACTCCTGGGTTCGAATCACGCGAGCTGAATCGTAGATGCTCACTGTTGAGTATTACCATACTAGGGAGAAACGGCCGTCCAGTACCTTCAGGTTTTCCAAGTTGATCTAACTTTAATTGACTATTAAATTTTATTAAACCATATTTCCTTGATTATGAAATATATTTATTATTATTAGTATTATTACCGAATGCCCTGATATGGTCGAGAGTGGGGAGAGTCTGCTCTCCCTCTCCAAATGCTCTCACATGATCACGCGTATATAGCCTCTGTCAGGGAAGTCCTAATCAATGTCTTCTCGTGGCACTACTGTTGTTTACGAAATTAAGAGAACGAAAAACGAGTGTCCGGCGATTTAATCGGGTTGGTAGACACGGCGAGTCCATCTAGGGTAGTTAGAAAACCTTGATTCCAAACGAATGGTGCACATGGGCTCCAGTATCCTGAAGGAACAAATGGCGTATGAATCAATCGTTGATCACCGGCTACCATGGGACTGCATCTCCTTACGATTCTCCACTGCCTTGTAGATCAGATCTTTAGGTCAAAGGCTCCGGTGTGGCCTCCTGAGTAAACCATCTGCTTCAGTTTGGGCACCTGGGCAGTATCACATCCCTCACACAAATCACAAATCTGTGACGCATATATATCTGGTGCCCTTTGTCCCAATATTTATGTGTTCAAATAAAAATAAATTACCAATTACTTATTTTCTTGCAAATATTATTAGTAATAGAATAAAATTTATGTTTTTCAAATTATTCCATCTGATATGTTTTATAAATTATGAATTATTATTATTACTGATAAATAGAAAATCAATGTTGATCGGATTTTCTTAACATTAAATCAAAATTTATTGGGTGTTTGACTAAAAACAAATATGCACTTTATGTAGTCAGTTGTGAATTAGGTTATTTTAATGAAAACTATTAATAATGCCTTGTTACTAGAACCGAATTAAGTGAATTAAAATTATTAACTATTTTCCCCAAGGTTATGAGTTTGAGCTATTGTGCCAGAATATATAGACAAAGAAAAGGGTTCCATTAAACATCCCTTCTGGTTAAGTTGATATCGATAGTTGATTAGTTTCTTTTTCTTAATGAAATGATTTTTTAATTGTTTATTTAACATTTTATTTATTCATTTGAAATCATTAGTCACTTGAATCTAGACAACCTTGGAAAACCTGGAAACATTGGACGGCTGTTTCGTCCTATTGTGAGACTCACCAGCAGTGCGCATCCACGATCCCACCTCATGAGATTCGAACCCAGAACCTATCAGTCTTGCGCGCGAGCGCTTAACAGATAGATCGCTTAGCCGGCATCTAACGGTGTTAATGTCTAACTTCAACCAGTCCACGAAGTTGAGCATTAGAAATCATTTATTAGATAATTTACAATTAACCTCTGTTTTATTTTATTCTATTTCTCTTGTAGTATAAACTACTCAGCGTGTTGATTAAGTAATTTGTATGTGATAAGTAATGAAACCAGTACCAACCTATTTTAGAAAACTTTTACACTTATTATATGCGCTTCTAGTTGCTTTAAGTCTTCAAACATGCATTTATTTACCTTCGATTTGAAAATCAAACTCAGTCTATTAAGTCAATTAATAAGATGCTGAGAAAAAAACGTCTTTAAAGTTTCACTTTTGATTATCTGTTTTGGATTTTTGCTCATTTGAATGAAACATCCGAAGTTTAAGTATCTTGCCTAATTTATTTTATAATTATGACTTTAATATCACGTGTAATCAACATACCAACCTTGAAAATACAAATGATCTGTACCAGTGAACAGTATTTCAATCACGAAGAGGCATAAAACGTTAAAGATGGTTCAAAAATAATGACATATACACAGTAACTAATGTCAACGGTTTTCTCACCGCGTATTCGATAACCGTTGTAATTTAGAAATAACTGAAAGTGTATAATACCGCAAACTGTTAGGATGTTGAGATGAGACTCAACCGTTAACAATATCGAACTTCGTGTAACCATAATTCAGCTGAATGCAAAGGGGGGGATTTTGCAGGAGTTTGGGATGAAAAGCAAGGTAGATGCAAACAAATTAGTTGTTATCACAAAAACCATGTGGCGATTGAGAAATTAAGTTGTTGTCTAGCTATTGTGAGTTAGCGAATTATTAATATAGTCAAGGTCACCTCATACATATCGTTGTCTGTATCGGTCCAGTGACTGGATTTATATACATATATAATTAGATCTAGCCACACAGCTTCCCACAAGTTGTTTTTCTTCTCACAATACATCGATGGTCGGATAAGGGTTAGGCAGGGTGTACTGTGTCTGAATCGAATTGAAGACTATAGCAGAAGCGTATACCGAATAACTTTAGTAACCAACCGAAAGTAATAACGTAATTGAAAATAATTAGCGCAGACATTTTGTGACAAAAAGACACAGAATTTTGTTAAAAGTAAAAATTTATTTGTTTAATTATCGAAATGTCGAAAACGCTTGCTAAATTTTTGAAACAAAGATTTAACTTCTATTTTTTCTTATTTGAGACAACTTACCGATGTATACCGAATTTTTCAAAATTTATATCATTTTTGATAAGTAGAGTGTAATTATAAACCATTGGAAATAAAAATGATTTTCTACCAAGCGGTAGAGTATCATTTTCTAAGGGACACCAAGAATATATTTCACATGATCCAATATCATTCCCTGGTTTAATGATACATTTGCCTGTATGAGCACCTGAATAAACAATAAACAACAAATGGGTTGGAATATCTAGGTTACAGTCTTTTTTAATCGACGAAACATAATGACAGTTACTTATTGAAACTTTATTTACACAATCTAAAGTTGTGAAATAATACATTAATTGAAATAATACTTCACCCTAATCAATAAAGTAATCCTCATTTTGTGAAATGTTCATAAGTATTTTAACTAAAATCTAGACTCCCAATAATCATAAGCGTATATATATTTATACACTTCGTAAATATCAGTGCTAAAGTTTGACTACATATTGTTACTGCTAAGATTGATAGTTAATGTCTGCAATTACATCAAATAAAATTTACCGTATTTCATTTTCATATATTCAATGGGCATGATATTGTGGCAATTAACATTGAACATACATTCTCGAATTATTTCCGATGTAAGGATAATTCAGCTGACAACAGGTAACTCATTTTTAGGTAAAACAACACCGTTGAAATTTCTATTACGTGCTATTTAATTCATTCAGGCGCCCATGATATGAAATAATCAAGTTTTAGAATGTGGGAAAACTTATAGTATATATAAGTTATTAGAAAATTATGAAAGGTCGATGTTGACAACACAATATTAATTGAATTTATATACATCAAATTACTGTAGACATAAGCTATAAAACACCTAAAGTCGTTTTTAAAAGCATCTCGAAATTGATAACTAAGGAATATTGTGAAACTTTGAACTTTTATTCCACTTTGCTATATCCATAAAAAATATGAACTTGATGATTTTGACAAATTATTTTCATTTCGTACTTAATTTCAATATCTGGATTGTGCTCAACAAAAAGGTGCCTAGTTGTTGGGACATTAACTTAAAAGTGAAGATAAGTCCGAAATCTTAAGAAATGACTGTTCTATAAGAGAAGGATTTCCATTTTACTAAATATTGAATATACCAACAATTATGAGCCCGTTAAACTCATGTTTCGTGCAATTATTTGTAATGGATTATTAATAATAACTGGAACAAAAACAATGATGAAAATTCAGATAAAGACTAACAAATCTATTGTATTTCAACTCTTTCAAATGATCACAGTCTGATAAAATTCAGCTCTCAAAATGAAGGAAAGTGGAATATTTTAGAGTGCTAAACAGGCAGCTCTGTATCAATAAATAGCTGTATTAAGGTTTCAACTTAAGTACTATAAACCAAAAATACTTTCGGCGATCTTTATCAGGGTTCTTATTCCGTATTGCAGAAGATTTCAAGAAAAATTAGCTATTCGATATTAATAACAGGATATTGAGAAATAAACAATAGAATGTAATTAAGTATCTTGTTTCACAAAACTTTGGTTAATGACATAATAAGTTTTGTCCCATATAAAACTGACGAATGCAAGAAAACAGTCGTAAGAAAATACACATAATTTGAAACGGCCGTATTTCAAAGCGTCCATGATCATGATTACGGATTTTTATTCGTCATTTTTGGTGTAGACTAAAAGACCAAAATAATTACTCCCAAGTCATATTGTTAAACAGAAATTGTAAAGCATAGCTTAATCAGATCAATCGGGGTAACTCGTTAGGATCGAGACAATAGTTTGCTTTCATATTTTTGTCGGTGTTCGTTTCGATTCCATATATTCCTGTAAATGCTGCTTCAATTGGTATTTAATTCTGAACGACTTTCATTGAGGGAGATATTATATTATTCGTAGGTTGAAGTAGAGTCTAAATTTTGACGGTCGAAACAAGGTATCATATCAGTTTACCCTAGAGAATATTTTACTGTGAGATACAAAGTGATGAAAATCAAATCATTATTAGAGACAACACATACAAAAACAGAGATGTGATACGATAAGGTTTTAGTTGAAATGAATGCTTTGATGTTTTCCTAATTGATGTGGTTTAGTATAGCTAGAACAGTAATCACAAAGTATATAACCTCTAATGAACTGGTTATTATTGATTTAAAACTACGATACACGAATACAACATTATAATTAGAGTTTCTACAAAAACTTATTCCAAGAAAATTTTAAAATGCTGCTCAAGCGGTTTGAAAATTCATGTTTATCAAGAACCTTAAAATACAGACACTAGTCCAATAAAATATTTTGTGATATTTGATAAAAATCATAACTACCAGACAGTCATGACAACCACCATTCCGTCTGAGATCATAAGGTATCGTAAGAATTCATGAACTAGTTAAGGACTTATTTAACAAACAATTATTGAAATGATAAAGGCAAATTTAAGTTAAAGCGTTTCTGAATCCTAGATAACAGATGAAGACTGTATTTAATGACTGAAATTCTAATTTTTCACAACCGTTTATGGTGGTTTTGAACATCACAACCAATTTCAAAATTGAATATGGCTACGCTACTAACTTACCATTGCCAAGATGGGAAATAAAGTAAGGTTTACAGTCAGAGTCTTTATAACAAGCTGCCTCAGGGACCCATGAACTCTAAAAATTCTATTATACTGTAGAAACTACCTCTGGGCACTTGGAAAGTGACTGACGTTCAGTTTTGACCAAATTGGTGATCACAAACAGTGCATTGTTTTCCAAAGGTGGTACTATATAGTCCGCCACGTCCCAACTCCGCATCCCGATCCCCGGAATGTGAGAGAACTTTGTAAAGCCAACTCCTTTTACTTTAGTCGTGACTGCACTTTTAGCTATATCATTCTCTTGATATCCCTTTTCATAAATCATGACCCAGCTGTTTTAAATAAATAACCATAAGCTTTAATAACAATTTACCAAACGACATATATAAGAATAACCAATTGAAGTAAACGTTGAGTAACTCCGATTCTGATGTTGGAAATCTGTACAAGCTTTGGCGTTTCATATTCGAAAAGGACAGCAATCCCTTTAACCATTTGTTCACGAGCGCTTACATATGTCGAGTTTTGAAAGTTCTCCGCTAATAACAGCAATCGAGGTCATAGATGTTACCGAGCAATCAAAATGGAAAAACAAAACTGTAAATTCAGAAATAGCTTTCACGAAAATAGTAGACAAATTATTTCAAATGGTTTCAAACGCTTCTAGGAGGATCAGAAGAAGCTTTTACTGGACAGGATTCTGTGTTTAGTGACAGTGGATCACTGATGTCGCTAGGTAGGGACCTAGGTATATTTAACAATAAAATAGATGAAAATAGTAAACCGTAGCGAGGTGTCGTCTTTATTCCTTAAGAATATGTCAAGTTTTCCCCTAAAGGATTCCTGGGAAGTAAATTGGACTAGCTCAGCCGGCACAAAATTACAGCATTTGACCTACCTTAATGAGTATGTGTACCTGTAGTCCGTTCTGCTGCGTTTTGTCTATAGTTTCTGAGTCTTACCCTTAAGGTTTGGGTTTTTATTGAGCTTAAGTAGGTGTTCAGAAGTGTTTAAGATTTTATAAGTCAAAAGAAAGTCACCTCTGATACGCCTATACTCCAATGGGTAAAGGTTCAGTGATTTGATGCGTTCTCCATGAGACTTGAATTTGAGTTCTTGAACTTGATTTCGTGGACGTTTTGGCCCGTCCAACTATGAAATCGGGTCAGGTTCTCTCGAAGTTCCAGCTTATCATCTTCGTCACAAACGTCTCTCCAGAGTCTCACTTCATCAACGAAAAGTAGTAAATCCGAAGATGCTTCTTATGGAAGACCATTTACATAAATCAAGAAAAGAGTAGGGCCTAGTACTGAACCATGACGGACCTCATAAACACATTCCATAACCTGAGAGATGTAGAAGTTAACCCTAACTTTTAAATGTCAATTCGCTAAATACTCAATGAGATAATCAATTATAGATGGTACGATACCTTATAGTTTGGGCTCGTATATACGACATACATAGTTGACCCGGAAGGGTCAGTGGAATGTCACTGAGCCCTAGCCAAATCATCTGAAAAAGTTGGAACCAATGTTCTCCTTCTGTTCAAGTGGTTGGACCGATGTGGTGAACATTTTATGGAAAAGTTCAACCGGTATTCATTTATGAGCCGGTTACCCATTATCTACAAACAACGAAAATGAGAGGTTAATAACAATCACAGGAATTTTCGTGGGACTAAATAGCCCATAATTAACCTGATGCCAGAAAAAAGCCGATCCAACAGAAATCCTCTTTTTATAACAACTTAATAAGTTTGACTAATGTGCGAAGTAGTGAATCCAAGTTTCCTATCATCCGATTCCCACATTAAACTGATAAAAGGCGAACGTAAAGAAATAGAGGCGTTTCAGACATAGGCGTGGATCTATTGACTAATTACCCTTTCCTCACCAGGTTGTATAAAAGAGGCAGATTTATCAACATCAAGCCATTACTGTATTTTTTGTCTGAAAAGAATCATTGAGAGATATTCACCGAGATTTTCTACTACAAAGTGTCATTGAAGAGCAAATCAAGAAGTAAATAAACCTTGTGAATCCTTTATACTTAAACATTACCGATCACGCTAGAGCTACTTAAGAACCTGCAGCAGAGCTTTCAGCCTCAAGCTATGTTTTTCAGAACTCCTCACTGTTCATATATTCATTCAATTTTGTCATATCCATCATTGAAATGACACCTTTTTCGCGTAACATTTTGAAAATTAATCCCCAAGTGACCGCTACTTTTTTTTAAACTTACTTCTTTAGGTTAATCAAATAGGATGTATACTGAGTACTTGCTCGCTCGTCATTATATTATGTCTGTGAAAGAGGGACTATGGAAGTAGAAAGCATGAGATGGTTCATGGTTTTCAATCGTGATTTTCTACGAAGAATTTTTGTGTTTTTTAGGACAACCGACTAAGTGCCATTGAGGCTGCAAACCGAGTTATAGACAAAAATAGCAAAGAGGTTGATTGGGTCATGAGTTCACATAGACTGAATTCTTTAGGATTTAAGAACAGTATATCTAACACTTCTGACTTCAAATAATGTACTAGTTGGTTGAGAAAAATTAGTGGATGGTTACACTAAATATGATCGCCGTGGTTGGTATAACTATTAACTTATAGTTTCGATTTCCAGATTGTCCCAATATGAATTTCTTGTTAGTGCTGATTTTGCCTATTGTTTTCCTCAAGAAATGTAAGTGCACTTAGTGAGCTTGTCAGGACATCAACTTCCATTTTTCTTTTGTTTTTTCCTCTTCTAGCTCTCCACAGTAATGATACTCTACATGCTCTCCTGATACACAGTACCTTCTGGAAAGAAACCAATTGCTACATATTTGGTCAGCCCGCTTGGATGCAAAATCTACTTAGTAATGAGGAATTATCCTAAGCCCCGATATTTATCTCTTAAATCTGTTCATTCAAACTCCATTATCATTCCTTTATCTTTAACATCGTCGTCGCTTCTTTATTGTTTCAACTATTTTTCAACTGTTCTTGTTATTTATATAAGAACTCTTGTCTAAATTAGAGCGAATAGTTTCACAGTATTTGAACGCTGAGTTGATGTAAGACATTAAATAGGAATAATATATTTGTAAAATCTCATTCGCTGAGATTTTACAAATATATTATTGCTATTTAATGTTCTTGTTATTATTCATCGCTTCATGCTAGCACGGTCTAGTATACTGAGCTGACACACATCTGTATCTGTGTTGATAATGAATGAACGACATTATCACTATTTCTCTGCACTCGTCCCTTCACTTGCCAATTGGTGTCATTTTGACTTAGACTAGTGACGGAAGGAGTGAAAAGTTCTGATTTCAGCAACTATATTGTTCAGTGAAGGGAGAGTAAACTAAATGAAAAAATGAAGGAAATAGGACTCTCAATTACTCACTTATACTTCGAACGTCCATGTTTTAGTGAAGTGAGAAGTGTCACTTGGTGAAACTGAAGATTTTCGCTTCTTCCTTACACTAAATGATTGAGGATAATTGTTTGCTCTGACACTAAAAACGTTCTAGATAATTCGGTTACAGTCTAACGGGGCCTAGTAAGATCATTATAAGTTTCAAATTATACATAGACTTCAATTATGCTTCAGTGCTGCAAATGTAGGGTTGATTTCTTGAAGCATGCACAGAACTTAGTGACTGCCTACAAAAACCTCAGCAAGTCAGATTGCAGGTGGGTGTGTGGCACATGAGACATAAATTCTTAGGTTTCTCCGAGCAACATCACTATTGTCGCGATAGGTCTGAGAAAAATAGTTGTCAGCTACCCTGATAGAGGGCAGTTCTGAGATGGATAAAGAGACAAAGTCCTCCAGTGAAGTGATAAACAGAGTCTTTGACAACATTAGTATCGATGAAATACACATCGACATTAGTGAGCTTTTGCTGAAGCTCAGCGCCCGTCATAACGCCGTGTTAGAATCTTTCAACAAATTTTTGTTTTTTAGCGCAATCCTTCTAAGTGAAAATGTGGTCCCCAATAATTTTGTAGGCAACCAGACCCCCGTATAAAAATTTAAAAGACATTAGGTGTCACCGTCAGAAAAACTGAATAGCTAAATGTTGTAGGAAGATTAGCCATTGTTCGGTCATGTTATTTTCCCATTTAGACTGCCAACCAATCAGCGAAGAGCATGGGAATCGAAAACGCAGTCCAGATGCAAACAGAAATGATTTCTACCTCAGCATACTCGAAAACTTGGGAAAACCATCACGGTTCGAGATGATTCCCTCATAATGAGTAAGCTTAAAGACAGCTCTGACCTTCCTTTCAGCTCGAACAGAAAAAATGACAGGATGCTCCGGTATGAGCAGAACAGGAAGTTCAAACTCCCTGAAATTTAACCACTGGCGGTTACATGGCTCACCCGATAGAAAGACTTCAAGCTCCAAAACATCCAAGGACTTCTTCGTGTAACGTTCACAAACACTGCTGACGTGGAGGATGTTCTACTGGTTAGTCAGCCGGTGAAATCAGAAAGAGATGTAGTAATACTGGTGAGATAGCATATTTTGAGTGCAATATAACCAGGAACATCCCTAAAGATTCTCATGAGACATTCTCTGGCCTAAGAAATTTCACTGTGCAAAGTGTCACAGAAATCACGAACCTCGAACATTCAGATTACGGTATTGCGGATTGGAAACTCACGAACCAGTCCTTTAGGCTTAAGAACATATCGACTGAAAAAGTGGTGTGATTAGACAATAAGAACTGGGATTATACACCCCGGTTAATGAAGATAACCTTCTCACCCCTCGATTGGAGGATGCCACTCCTGAAGCCAACAGACGTCGGTTACCAACTGGTATCAACATACATCATGACTCTAGAAGGCTCCAATCTTCTCAAAGCCATCTTCGCTTAACACGCGTACATTGGAGGTAACAACTCTACTGAGGTTTGGTTCTCCTTCATTTCTACTCCCTTATTTTCTCCTACTCATTCTTTGAAATCAACTCAATATTATTCTTAATTACACAGAAACTGATTTACTATTATTCTATTGTTACTACGTTTTCTTCTTTTTTCTTCTTTTTCGAGTATGGCAGATGTTATGCCAACATTATTGAAACTTGTGTATTCTTGCATTTCTGAAGAAACCCGAAATGGTTTCTTTACAGCACTCATGTAACTGTAATATGTTTGTGAACAACAATAATAATAATCTTATTGAAGATCTGAAGTTATTCGAAAATATGACGTTAGCGACTCTCAGGCGATACAGTCATACGCTGTGGAGTTTATACTTCATGTTTACAAACAAAGAATTGCCGTGACGGTCTTTCAGTATCTCCTCTTCTGGAAGAAGGTGATGGTGCCATCATAGCATCTAATTTTGCCAGCTACACTGAACCATAACATCCTAATGACAGCGGGCATTTGAATTTCAAACGGTTGGATGTGTTAGCTTTACAGGTCAATCTACAACAGGTGAACTGGTAAGCCTGTCCTCAAGTTGATGTCAGTGCTCATTGAGATTTCCTACTGCACGTGATCCTACGCGTTACAAAACAGTGCGTCCCACAAATCGTCCTTCAAAATTATGGGCAACGTACATTC